AAATAGAAAGAAAGAAAGAAAGAGAGAGAAAGAGAGAAAGAGAACAATAAATAGAAGATTGAGCTCAAGAATGAAGCAGATACTAGCAACAGATATTAGCAACAGTATGAAAAACCCTAAGTGACACTAGAAAGACTTTATGACACACTGTAAGACGTGTCAGAAAAGCTTACGATAGCCTAGCCTCCCGAAGACGCGAGACTGAATGAACAAATTCCTATATCTATGAATGAGAGATGTATGCATGAATGAACTAGTAAAACACATCCTGATCCCATAAACCCAGCAAAGGATTAATAATTTGAGCGAGTAGGAATCCGAAGGCTTTTGTTTTTCTTTTTTTTTTCCTCCGTGAAATATGTTTGACATGCGTAAGAAAGCATGTTTCTTCTAAAGCACAAAAAACACGTGTTGAATGAGACACATCAACGCCGCGGAATGCTACGACGACGTTGTCAAGTGACGCCTTTACGCTCTCAGAAAGTTTCCGCCGATGATGCAAAAAAAATAAATAATTTGCTGAATGAAAGAAACATCAACTGTTTAAGGATGTTCTTATGGTTAATGCAATATCAATCCTGTTGATTCAAACGTTAATTAATTTTTTTCCGGACGTTGACGTTTTTCATGAAATACCAATACGGTTGAATAAGAAGTTTTGGCTTAAACATCGTCGCAAATTGAGGCCTCGCACTTGAAAACTGAATATTGAAAATCGAGGACCAGCGTACCGACGTGACTTCGGTTTTCTTAAACACCTAACACAGCGGGAAAGCCGCCATACATATCTAGAAAACCGCCGTTCCCTCCGGGAAAACGCCGTGATTTGGCGGTAAGGAACTTGAAAAAGGAGCACAAGAACGCTCGTTCGTTTCAGCTCGTCTCACCTCAAGCTGATCTCGGTGTCGGTGCAGGAAGCGGTGTCGCCGAGACGTCACGAAAACCGCCCGAGCTTTTTGTCATAAAGTTTATCACGAGTTTCCGCGGCACCACAGGGAGGCAGCGCCCCCGACACAGAGCGAGTGCCAGGCAGAATACACAAACGCGAGGAGGAAAAAGCAAGCATGATGTTTCAAATCTGTAAATATTATAGGGGCAGTCAGCCAAAAAAATATAATATTAACAAATTATGAATCTTTCTTTAGGCGCCCAAAACTGACACCTCACAAAAGAGAAGGCGAGTATGGCTTTGGCATCTGTTTTAATAGCTCGAAGTTTGTGTAGAGTCATGGGGACTGAACAATTGGATTCGGCACGATCTTAACACTACAAATGGGAATGTCCCTAGCTGCTTTTGTATAACGCTGGTCCCGCCATCATGTGGGCAACGCCGGTTTACTTCCCAGCGGGGCATTCGTAAGCTTGAGTAAATTAGACGGCTTTCCCTGATTCTGAACAAATTGCTTGTCTTGTCGAAGATCGACGTTGAATAGAAAGTCCAGACTAAGCCATAAAACTTTGTCGAGTTTAATAAGGTGTTAAATCATAGCCATACTGTACCTGAGACCAAAACAGTTTCAACTGTGAGTATTTAAGCTCTACAACAAACAACTTTAAAAGCCGTTGAAGAAGGATGGTCGATCCAGCTCACTTGTGAAATGACATAGGACCAGAGAGCTTTTCAAAATTGCTGAAACCTGCATTTCAATTACACCACTACTCAATCGACACAACTTATAGCTTTAAGGAGGCTGGCTATCCCGAACCTGCCTTGGTGGGCAAACCCAGGTGAGTAGGATAGATCATTTCAGTCTCAGAAGATGGACTGAAGTACTCAAGACATAAACTACCCCTTCCCCAAACTTGAATTCTGGTTGCATGTCTCGAATTATAACCTATTTCACCAAAGACGCCAGAACGAAAGTCTTCGTGACACGGAGTTTTATGTGTATCCCGGAGCCACGCGGGAACAACGCCCTTCTTTCGAGTTATTCAAACAACGTCTAAAGTCTAGAGGAAAAAGTTTAACTTTTTTATCTTTCAAATGTTTACACACTTCCTCTTAGGATGTCCCAACTTCTTCGTCTAGACGTTCGGAAAACAGTTATTAAAAGATTTGCAGGATAAGAAACGTGTACAGTTTCGTTATCCCTTGTTTATTTACTCTCTGGAAGGGGCAGTAATAGGGATAATGGATAGGGCCCTGGGTATTTTGGCTCGCTGGGAATGTGTGAAAAACCGACAGGGTAGTGTCCCTTGGACAAAGAGAGATTATTTCGAAATTTGGGAAGATTACCTTGGAAATTTTAGCGGAAACCTTGCTAAGAGATAGCCTGGGAAAATTAGATTGTGTTGTAAATAGCCCATGGAGACTGACCTCTCCAGCTGTCTTCTCTCTATCTATCCCTTCTCTCGACTCTAAGCTCGACGTCTAATTTGCAATGGTCAGGTTCTTCGATGTTTCAGACAAAAGATATGAGCTCGATTCTCAAGTGGGAAAGTCTGATTTATCCCCAAAAAAAACTTCTTCATTTTACGGGGATGTTGTATTACCTCATAGAGCCCCGGTTGGCTCTGGCAGGCAGAGTACACGTAGCCGACATCAGAAGTAATGTTAAATGTATCGAAGGAAACGGGGTGGAGAGTAAACATTCACATTTAACTAATGTTTTTCCCCCTCCCCCTTCATTTCTTTCGCCTTTCTTTAGCCTCTTTTTCTTCTTCCTTTTCTTTCTTTCCTCCCCTCCATATCTCTTGTCCCCGTCTTTCCCTGTCTCTCTTACTTCTTCCCTCTCCCCCCCCCTCTCTCT